AGGCCACCACACCCTCCCCTTATGTTTGGTTTTTGTATTGCTCCCAACGCTTGTCGCTTCCGCTCTCATCCTGTCTCTCTCCATTAAACACCGCAACGGATCAGAGGAGGATCTGGAGATGCGTCTTTAAGCTTTATCACTTTGACTCTCTCACATGTGCACCATCAGCCTCACACAGCTGAGTGTTCAGTGGCAGGCAGCTCCCCAGCCAGAGAGAGACCCAGAGGAGAGGTCTAAGCGTAGCTCCGGTGCCAACCCAGCCCGGGCCTCCGAGCTGGGCAACAGAGGAGCTGTGTAGCGCGCTGTGCTCCATCAACATGGGAACGACGGTGTAACTCTGACCCCGTAGCTGAGAGACGAAGAAAAAAGGAGAGTGTCCAGTATGTTGATCTTGTTGAAGGAATAGGGGAGCGTGTGAAACGAGGGAGCCATAGGATATGAGATCAAGACCCTATGGAGACAGTTGGGTATCATCGTATTGAGAGTGAGGTGTGATACTATTTGGTGACTTGACACAAAGATATGCTATCTACAAGTACTCGCATGTTGATTTGGGCTATATTAGGTGGCTTGAAGGCTCTCTAATCCAGAGTCCCTTCTGGTTCATTTGGAGCCTGAACACGCCTGCTAATTGGTTATCAATTGAGGCCGGGTACAAGCCATTGGTTCTAAGACCCAAATGAAGTAGAGAAGCAATAGGAGGAAGAAGAAAGAGATCAAGATGGTGAGTGGCATTTCATTTCCAAAGGTCAGTGCCATTGATAGTTAAATTCAAATGTTTACGAACGTTTGGAGCGGACAACGCGCTTATCCTGAGTGGAGTTCTTTCAGCAGATCGGATGACTTCATGAGCCTTAATGGACTGCATTCGAATACCCCGAGGAAGCAACACTGTTCTCAAAGCATGAAGGGAAAAAATGTCACTATCAAAGACCTAATATTCTTATGTGCAGATGGCTGAAATGTGATTCATTATGCTATGTAACAGGCCAGACGCAGGTGAGGAATGTCAGTGGTGGGTGGGTGGACGGTTGCGGCATGTCTGACTTTATGTGCCCTTATACACGAGCCGAACAGTTTGTTGTCTAAAGATGAAATGCTACTCTTGAGTCTGTTGCTCAATTAACCTGCTGTGGGCGGCTTTGCAGATACCATCTGCATTGTATGGCAAAAAGTCCTAACTAACGAGGGGCGGTTTCTTTTATAGCAGCCTTTTGCCCCAATAACGGCCCAAACACATTATTCTCATGCAGAGGCTTTGGAGGCAAAGGTCTGTAAATTCTAACTTGTCAAAAACTGCCTTGTATTTGGAAAACTGCTGCTGGTACATTCCTCCAGTGCAGTTTTTTAGGCGGACCTTCTAGCTGGCCATATGTTATGACAAAGAGTATAGAGGAAATGATAGTAACGTGTAGCCGTCACGTAAATATCGAACAAAGTCCACAGAAAAAAATATTGGTCTTTCCCATTGAACAGTCTCTTTTGAATTTACGTTGCATATCGTAACAACTGACTCAATCTATTAGTACCAAGCCAACATACCTAGTTTAACCAAACGAACTTTTCCTTAAACCAAATCCAAGTAGTTTTGTAGCCTACCAAGAGGAGGACACATTTGTGGTGTTGCTGTGTATGTTAAAAATGAGGCTAATAGTACCCAGTGCGCTTTAAAGTCAACTTCACCAGCAGGTCGTGACTTCGCCTCTGTTACAGTTTAAAAATAAGAATATTGACGGTGTTGAAATGGCAATTCACGCTGTAAGTTGAATCAGAAGAACATTTTGAAGAAAAAAAGTATGAGCCCGTATAGTGTGCCTGTGAATATGCGTACTTGAAATATATTTTGAAGGCCAATTCTTGGATTCATCAATAACACAAGACTATCATAATTAAAAGCCAAACTGTGGCACTGTAAACTGGCATCCTGTAATTGTGTGTTATAAAAACACAACAAAGAAAAAAACGATTTCAAAGCTCCCATTGGGACTGTTCTTGGCAGCATATGTCATCTATACTGTCATCATGAACTGCCTTCATTTTATTTGTTTGATGTGAAATTATCCTGAGTGAAAAAGCGCTCCGCATGCAAAATGACAGACGACTTCATAAAACTGGCAAAAATTTCTCTCCATGATAAAGGGCAGGCAAGCTTGCCGGACAGGAAACTAAATGCAACAAGCTGTTTTTTAAAAAAAATCGTATTATTGTCTTACTTTCCTATTTCCTTGAATTGATAAAGTCACTCTTTTGACCACCCGCGGGCCGGCGTCGCCAGCCGGCTTCTAGCAGCCCGCAATGCTTAGGGATTCATGAAGCATCAATTTGTTTGTCTCGTGTTTGTTTTGCTGGTGTTTGTTTCTCTCATTTTTGTTTTATAACATTTTCCGTTCATGCTCTCGTGTTCTCTCCGAATGCTGGCAATTTTCTGCCTGCGCCTCTATGTGCCTCTCTGTTTTATTGCTGTACAACACAGCTGATTTATATATATTACTATCCAGTAAGCTGACATTGAGAATTACTTTACTTTAAAGGGGGTGGAGAAATCAACATTTGCAACAGGACCGAAGAAAATATGTATGTACTGTGGCACAGTTTACAGATGCCATGATTTTATCAGATATGAAGTGAAGTCAGCTTCAGAATATGACTACTACCATGGGAGATAACGAGTGTAGTGTTGAATTCATCTTGGCAACCATGTATGACGCAGGTGGGAAATTTTTCAGGCGCCGGAGATGGAATATTGCTTCACAGGGTGGCTGGCAAATTGGAACCAAAATCAAGGCGTGGAGGGATAAAGTGTGTGTGACAATACTGTGCTGCTGGCTCACATGGCGCATCTTATGTAATCCTTCAAAAATTTACCCATTTAATTGAGTGACACACATCAACAACCATGATCTTAAACAAGCATTTTTTCTAAAAAAATAACATGTTAAGATTTAGGGGTATTTTGGATATACCCCCCTGACATTGAAGTGTCTTGGTAAGCGCATGGCAAGCGGCCCTGAACCAAATGGATCATTAGCGAGATAATAGTTGAAAAGATGGACTTGGAATTGGTATGGTTTCTCCCAACAAGATGAGGCATGGATGTCAGCCGGTTGCTGGTGCTTTTAGGCGTGTGATTGGACAGGTCTTGGTCAAGTGTCATCCGCATTTGCGGAATGGACACCACACCACACACACAACACGGCAACCGCGCGCCACGAAGCACACACAGCACACACCACACACCACCCACACACCCCACACACAACACAACACACACAACACCACACACACACCACAACACACACACACACCAAATGCCTGATTGCGCAATTTTAAAAGACACCATAACATGATAGCCTCTACCTCCCAGAGCGTATCTTAAAGGGGACAGTTGGCTCAAAATGAAGTAATTTCCTTTTCCTCTCATATGTTGGTGCTACTTATACAGTTTACATTTTGTTGTGGTCTCGCTGAGTGGAAGGCACTTGGCCGTAGAGACGGTCTGTGCAGTATAATGGAATTTGATGTGACTTGTCTTGTGGTGCCTAGGAAGCATTTCTTTGCTGTCTCTACTGCTACCCATGAATGTTTTAGTTGTGCACGTTTCAAGCCGTTGGTCCATGATAGATGTACGTCGCTTGTTGGTAAGTTCCATTCTGTGTCAATGGCGTTTCCATAAAATTGCTGGAAACCGGTCTGTGGATAATCGAGTAAACTGGAACATTTAAAGAATTGACTCTATATATTTTCTATGTGTTTTTGCATTTGAGAATCTGTATCGCAGTTTGCCTGGGTTCCATTTATCAGGAAGAGGGAAGGACAACATACACTCATACCCATTGAGAATGAACAATAGCACCGTTACCATGATTAAGAAGAAAACTATGTGCTTTTGCATTTTTGGAGGACCTTGTCCCTTACGAAGTGAAGCACATGGATGTATATATCCATGCTAACACGGCAACTCTAAATATACAAAACTAAGGCNCCCTACCTCACTGCAGCAGGACACTACAAATATGGGCAGCAGTCTTTGCGTCTGTATTTGGCTGAGATGAAGAAACTGCCAGAGACAGCCCCAGAGGCACATGAAGCACTGATGGCAGGTGCATGTGTTGGAAGGAGAGCAGATGGCAACCACAATGGTGTCTCTCCTGACATGCTCCTGGAGCAGACATATAATGCAGATACCAAGGAGGCAAGTGGTCTGGATGGCATTACACTCAATCGTGCTGCCAGGATGAAGTGGGTCTCAAGTCTACGCTGCACCTCCATTCCTCCAGTCGTGTCAACAGGGATGCAGAGATGGTAGTCAAGGTAGAGACCAACCCATTCACGACAGCCACACCATCCCTGATCAATATATCTACTGGCGAGTGTGCAGATCCCACAGGCAAGGACAACCTGAGAAGTGTGAAAGCAGTTGGTTTGAAGGCATTGTCAGAATCACTGTCCAGTGACCAGAAGAAGACAAGTGTTGTAAAGCTAAACACATTCCACACAAAACAGGATGAAACCAAAGAAGTCTGGCGGGAAAACCTCTTCACCTTGCAAGAGCAATGAAGTCACTGCCCTTCTGCGCATGACCCAGATCATTGCCAGTGGTGGAGAACTCAACATTGTTGACTTCATAGGCAACCACGAGTGCAGTGACCTTCCCCCATCCCTCTTCCAGGAACATGGGAGTATGAGAACAGGGACCAAGGCAAGCCTTGTGAAGATCTTGAAAGAGAAGACCAAAGTAAGCAGCATCCCTGATCCGCCCCAAGACTGCCTTTAGACAGTAGTAGTCGTAGATGCCATGTCCGCCATACGACACTGGTCTTTCCACACATGGAGTGATCGCTGAGCGATACAGGCACCTGCTGCTGAATGATGTGCCTCCTGGCACTGACATCATACACTTCTGTTGTGACAGATACACTGAGACTGCCAAGGACTCAGCTGTGCAGGAACAGAGATATACCAGATCCAAACCAGCGAAAGTGTGTGAAGTCAGTGAGCAG